ACAATCCGTTCATCCACCAGCGTTATCTCCTCCGACGTAACGGTCTGGTCCGCATCAGTGTTTCCCTTGTCAAAAGCCAGCCCTTCTTCATCATCCTCTTCATTCAGATTGTCATTTTGCTTTTACAAGTGTGTCATTGAAATCTCCCAATTCCGAAGGTACCGTTGCTGACTCGCTGCTCTAGAAAAGATGCTCGGCCGCCGCACGAAGATGTTGAAGCCAACAAAAGAAGAAACCAGCGATCCAATAAATGAATGTGAAGCTTTGATAGCCAGCAAACCCATTAAATTGAAAAGCCAAAAACCTGCAACTAATAAACCAAAGAAAGAAATCTCAATCGCAAAACCAACTATGCCACACGAAGACACTGTTTTACTTTTTCCTATTATGTTAATAATCAAATGCGCTATACAGTTTATTTGTCAAAATTTATGACATTAATTAAACCATGTCTATTTAAAGTTGTATATACACCCAAATGTTCCAAAATTATTAATGATTATATCAAAAAATTAAAAGCCTCTTTGGTGTTCATGTTTTTGGAGTTATAATCCTTACAATCATTTTTTTCACCAAACACATAACTTTTGATCTCGCGCGCTGAATCGTGAAATAATCAAAATATAAGATTCAAATTACTCTTCCGGCTGAATTGTCTGAAGTTATTATGGATGATTATTTTTTCTTTTTTTAAATAAATATATATTAAATATAATTTGGAACATATGAGATATTTAACTTTTTATAAAGCTTATTTTATGTTTATGTAAGACAATTTATCACCCTTTCTATACTCAAGAAATTAACATTTATACAACAATAATCTCAAATTGGAAAAATTATACTTAAATTATCTCAACTTATTAACAGTTTCTCAAAAATGAACCAACATAACAGCAAGTTAACAACGCTGACTAACATATCAGTTTTGCAAAACATTTAACATATAAGAATATCCCTGTTGACATTTCTGGTATGAACTATTTTTGCAAAATGTGTAAAAGTTATTAGGGAAAAATACGGAAAAGGTACTTGTGGTTGAGCCCGTTTTCAGATAGGGTCATGTGTTTCATTCTTTATCAAAGTGGTTCATGTGTTTGAATTCCGTTATCACAAGAGGGTCATGCCGTTAAAAACATCTGAAAAAGACCGTTAAAAGTAACTCCGATTTTCAAAAGTGCCCGAAAAATCAAAAGAAAAATATTGGAAGGTGCGCCTCAATAAGACGACCGCTAGGCCATCTTTCTTTTTTGTTTTCAGCCACCCTTGTCACCGGAAAGTCCATCGGAAAAGTGATATTAGAGAAATCATTTTAAAAAAATAATTCAAACTGATCTGAAAAATCAATAGGCGCACCTTTCGGTATTTTTCTTTTAGTTTTTCGGGAACTTTTGAAAATCAGAGTTACTTTTAACGGTCTTTTTCAGACGTTTTAAACGGCATGACCCTCTAGTGATAACAGAATTCAGACACATGAACTACTTTGATAAAGAATGAAACACATGACCCTATTTGAAAACGGGCACAACCACAAGTACCTTTTCTGTACTTTTCCCAAATATTATTATTGCAAGTTTTGCCAAATATTTCTATTACATATTATTTAGATGAGTAATGATTTCTGACATTTTTAAATTTATTTATGGATAACGATTTAACTTTACTTATTAGTCGAACAGTAATTTAACATTTGAAAATAAAAAATGTTACTATGTATAAACATAAAAATAATTTTATTAAAATCTATTTTGTATAATCTACATTAATTGGCAAATTATATTTAATTTTTGGCTGAAATGGGATCCAGCAATTGATATTTCTCAGAAAAGTCATCAGACAGCCGTTTAAGGCTTTAAGAAATTTCGACCTAATAATCCTTGGATAAAGGGGTTATGCTTTCTTGTTGGATTGAAATGCTATGTAAAAATAATTACTTCGTAATTCCGCGTGTAGGGACTAAAAATGATTATTTACCGCGTATATATCATAAAATATTAAAAATTTAAGATCATAGCAGATCACGGGTGCTATAGGAAGCATTAGTTAATAACTCCCCCCTATATGGCCCTATATCTTTCTGAAGTATTGTACTTGTCCCGGTAGCCTAGTAGTTTGCACTTTGAAATAACCGTGAGAATGTGAGAATAATGGAAAGGTTACTCTATAAGGAGCCCTGTCTGATATATTTATATTAAAGAGAATTTAATGTAAAGTACAATACTAAGCCTCTAATAATTCTATTACATCCTCTCAAACTGTGCGAGAGATACAACGCGCATGTTGTCTTTTAAAAAATGAAAACGTTGACTAGAGAGACTTTTAGTAAAAATATCTGCCAGCTGTAGATGAGTAGGAACGTGCTTAACAATCAGATCTCCATGAGCAACCCGCCCCGAACAAAATGATAGTCAATCTGGATATGTTTACTGCGGGCATTCTGAACAGGATTTGCAGTCAAATAAGAAGCAGAGATATTATCACACAATAAATGTACCGGCTCCGTGATTGGTCATCCAAGCTCGAACAATACCGACCGAATATGCAGTGTGTCATGTACTGTGTAAGCAATGGCACGATATTCTGCTTCTGTGGAGGACTTCGACACGGTAGGCTGCTTCTTAGTCTTCCAAGAAACCAAATTCGGACCCAAGAAGACAGCAAAGCCTGTGGTGGACCGAGAACTATCAGGACAACCTGCCCAATCAGCATCGGAGTAAGCAACTACACAGGTTGGCCGATTAGACTGCTGAAGCCATAGCCCATGATCTCATGTGCCCTGCAAGTACCTAAAAATTCTTTTGACTGCAAAAAGATGAGTGGTACGAGGAGCATGCATGAACTGAGACACTAAGTGTATTGCATAAGTAATATCTGGCCGTGTCAAAGTTAAATATTGTAATGCACCAACCATGCTGCGATACTCAATAGAATCAGACAGTAACTCGCCATCAGAAAGAGACAGAGTGGTACGGGAAGCTAACGGGGTGCGAACAGGTTTTACAGTATGGAGATGAAAACGAGCTAGAAGATCAGTAACATATTTATGTTGAGAGAGAAACATACCTTTAGGTGAACGAATAGCCTCAACACCCAGAAAATAATGGAGATTACCCAAGTCTTTCATAGCAAAATGATGAGAGATAATCGAAATAAATTGGGTAACAAATGACTTAGAAATGCCAGTAATAATAATATCATCCACATATAATAATAAATAAATAATAGTATTATTCTAGCGGTAAATGAACAAAGAATTATCATATTTACTACAGGAAAAATTATGTTGCAGAAGGAAGCTACTGAATCTATGAAACCAGGCCCGTGGAACTTGCTTAAGACCATTAGGAAATTGAGGGTGAATAAAATCACGAGGTTGACGCATATAAACTTCTTATGTCAGATGACCATGTAAGAAGGCATTTTTAACATCAAGTTGCCGTGTAACCTACCCAAAATAAATAGCAAGAGTAAGTACAATACGAACAGTGGTGGGTTTTACGACCGGGCTAAAGGTTTCAGAGAAATCAATACCTGCCTGCTGATTAAAACCTTGTGCAACTAATCGAGTTTTATGGCGCTCTAATGATCCATCAGAATGATATTTAGTTTTATAAATCCACTTACACCCAACAATATTCTTAGAGCTATCAAATGGCACCAACTCCCATGTTTTATTATTAATGAGAGCATTAAATTCATCAGCCATCGCCTCACGCCATTTTAAATGTTTATTTGCCTCAGTAAAACAGGTAGGATCTGCATGAGTAATAACCGTATTTAAATTAAAAATTGTTTTGAGTTTAAAAATTCCTGACTTAGCACGGGTTTGCATGGGGTGCTGATTAACTACCGTAGTGGACGTAGGTGATGGGGGGTCGGGTGATGCACAATCGGCCGAGGAGGTGATATCCGGCAAGCTGGACGGAGTTCGGCTGACGGAGGCTGGAGGTGAGGGTGGCAGGTTGTTGATTGGCGTGGGGAAGCTTGACGATGATACAGAGGAAGTGATAGGACTACTAGGTGGCCGAGAAGGGGATGGGAGCCGTTGCGGGAGTTGGTTCATGGTGATGATAGGGGACTGGACTGGTGGGTCAAGGGTAACATCAGTTAGGTTCATCGGAGAGTGTGTAGTAGGGATAGGATGTGTTGGACTAGGTGATAGTGTTTTAAAGGGATATGTGTCCTCATGAAACCTAACGTGACGACTGCTATAGACGCGACCTGTGATAGGATCAAAACGATGATAGCCCTTATAACCAGATGCATAGCCAAGAAAAACACACTGAACAAAACAAGGGGATAATTTATTAGCTGAGGTTGGTAAAAAATTCGGATAGCAGGCAGATCTGAAAACTCGCATCAAGGAGTAATTCGGAACACGATTAAAAAGTTTTTGGTACGGAGAAAAGCCATTTAAGGTAGGAGAGGGTAATTTGTTAATAATATATGCAGCAGTAAAAATGGCATCAACCCAATATTGACTCGGAACCGAAGCTTCAAGAAGCATGGTCCGAGTGAATTCAAATAAATGACGATGTTTGCGCTTAGCAACCTAGGGGTGGACCGGTTCCGGTTCGGGCCTGGGCCCGGCCGGGCCTCGATTCAAGAAGGGGAGGCCCGGAACCGGCCCGGGTAACCCCCGGGTCCGGACCGGGCCGGGCCTCGGTTCTATTTTTTTTTTTGGCTTTTCCTAGTTAACCCCCAACCCTTCCCCACACCCCCAAACCAACCCTAACCACCTCAAATGGCCCAAAATGCCCAGCCCAACCCAAAAACTTAAAAAAAATTCAAAAAACAAAAAAAAAATGGCCCGGCCTGGGCCCGAACCGGCCGGGCCGGTTTACCTTTTGAAGGGCCCGAGCCCGAACCGCCATCCCACCGGGCCGGTTGGCCCGAACCAGGCTCGGAACCGGTTCACCGGGCCGGGCCGGGCCCGCACAGTAGCGGGCCGGTCCGGTTCCGGGCCGGTTGGCCCGGCCCGAGTCCACCCCTATAGCAACCCCATTTTGTTGAGGTGTGTCAGGACATGATTTTTGAAAATATATACCATTAGCCAAGAAAAATTGTTGCATATTATGATTAACAAATTTACCCCCTCCATCACTTTGAAAATTTTTAATTTTATGATTAAAAATTTTTTCAACCAAAGCCTTAAAATTTTTAAAGTGCATAAAAACCTCACTTTTGTGATGCATAGGATAAATCCAAGTATAACGGGAAAAATCATCAATAAAACATACATAATACTTGAATCCCATGTTGGAAAATACAGGAGACTGCCACACATCGGAATGAATAATTTCTAGAGGGAAAATTGAATTATGACTAGCATCCATAAAAGGCAAACATTGTGATTTTCCTAAACGACAAGCCACACACTCAAGAGTAAAAGGAGAATGACTACATAGAAATTGTTTTTTCTTAGGAAACTGTAAAATACTATCATCGCAGTGACCTAATCTACGGTGCCACACAGGGCCAAAAGCTGCTAAAACTGAAGCAAAAACTAATGGTGAAGATGGCGGCAGATGGATAGGATAATGTAGCCCACTACTGGTAGCTCGTAGAAGTACTGCCTCCGATGCTTTGTCCTTAATCAAAAAGGAATTTTTATCAAAAATTACAGTACAGTTATTATCAGCACAGAGTCTTTGAATTGAAATTAAATTATATTTTAACTGAGGCACATGATAAACAGATTTTAATGTAAGAGGACGATCAGAAGTAGGTAATGCAACATCACCAACATGACTAATGGGGAGATATGCACCATTTGCAACACTAACAGAATTATGTCCGGTGTAGGAAGATTTATTAACTAAATTACCTTCAGTTGCAGTCATGTGAGCAGAAGCCCCCGAATCCGGAAACCATAAAGTAGGATTAGTGTCACAAGGAGTAGTCAACAGAGCAGGAGCGGAGGGTTGTGTGAAACGGGAGGGACAAGTAACAACAGAACTAATATTAGTAACACAAACAGATAATGCATTAATGTTTTAATGTGACATAGCAGAATTACAAATAACAGTACCCGTAGATGTCACACCCCCTGCAGGTGAACCACCCCCTCCAGGGTTATAAGTTGGCTGCCCCTAAGGATACCAGTATGCTGGCGGCTGACCATACTGGACTGAGTAATGCCCTCTGCCACGACCCCTGCCACCGCGGCCTCGCCCGTGACCGTGGCCCCTTCCGCACTGCTGAGAGCCCTGCTACCTTTGTTGCCCGACCGGGTGCTGAGTCTGCCCGACCAGGTATTGTGAGCCCAAATGCTGCTGGCCGGCCTGCTGACCAGTGGACTGCCCGGATAAATTGACTGCAGCACCGAAGGCCTGATGGAGGGACGAGGACTCCTGGGAGCGTAGATAAATAACCCGCTGTTCTAACTCAAGAAGATGATTACGAAGAGTTTCAAACGGGAAGTTTTGTCCAAATAATGACACAGCGGTGAATAAGGATTCATACTCAGGTCCCAATCCCATAATAGTAGTGTTTAAAATTTCACGAGGAGGCACAGGGCAATTGATTGTGGCAAGATCATCAGCTAAAGTTTTAATTTCTCTCAGATAATTATCCATGGACTGATCAGGTTTCTTTTTGATTTCATTAAATAACCTTTTTAATTCCAAAGATCAAGCTAAACTAACAGACATAAATCGAGACTCCAGCTGCTCCCACATCTCATAGGAATGTTTTAAATCACGAACATCAATAAGAACATCCCGAGATAGGGTTGCAAATAACCAAGAACGAATTGTTTGATCAATTCGCAACCAAGTGGAAAATTCCGGATTGGGAGTTTGACGGTTAAGAGCATCTATGGAATAAGTAGGTGGTACCTGAATGGAGCCATCAACCATGCCAAGAAGAGCTTGGGAAACCAGAAACGATTCGAACTGTGTCCACCAGGTAGTGTAGTCTTCCACCACTAACAGTTTGGTAGTCACGATATTTGTGACATTAGTTGCCACATGAGAGATGGCTTGGGCAAGTTCCGTGAGTAGAGTCCCGGCCGAGCTGACTAGTGGTGTGCGAGGTGGAATCATGAAGGTGGAGACACCAGGTGAGCCAACAAACGTAGGGCCAGCAAAGGTAGGGCCGCTGAGAGGGGCGGCGGCTCTAGAGGGACCGGCTGCACGGGAAGGGGAGCCGACCACGAGAACACTGGTGGAGCATTCTGAAAGAGAGAGTATGGCATAGAGACCCGGCTTGGTGAAGCAAAGTTGGAGGAGAACGTCACACCGGAGGAGACTGATGTTGGTGCCGACAGCGATCCAAAAAGGGGAGGAGCGCCGGTGGTGATGACGGTTGCGGCTGCTGCAATGGAGAGGGGCTGCACCGAAGCGGTTGCCGTTGTGCTGGCGGCGGAATTGTACCAAAAAATGCTCTGACAAATCGTACCAAAAAATGTGCAAAATTGATTTTTTCAATTTTGATTACTTCCGTGACTACTTCCGTGACAAGTGCAAAATTGATTTTTTCATCGTTCCACATTTAAAGTGCTCTGACAAATCGTACCAAAAAATGTGTAGTCACGGACAAATCCGTGACTACGTCCGTGCCTATAAGTTTTATATATTCAGCCTCCGCTTCATTCAACAAAATCACACCATCTACTCCAGATAGAATTCCAGATAGAATTGAAGGATGTAATCTACCCATCTCATATCATTTTTCCTGTTTATGCAGATAAGGTATGTAATTTGAATTACGTATTTTTTGTTTGAATTAGTTGGTTCATTTTAGCTACTACATTAGTTAATTAATACTTAATTAATTAACGAAATAAATTCCTTAAATTTAGTTACGTTAAACGTAGGTGTAATTTAAACATATTGGGTTAATTAAGTTGTATTTAATTAATTAAAATTACGTAAATTAGTTAAATATGTAAATTAGTTAAATACATATATATGAAAGTATATTATTAAATATAATATTGGCAATACATATGTTATTAATTTTAAAATATAGGGTTAAAATTACGTAAATTAGTTAAATACATATGTAAGTATATATGATTAAATATAATTTAAATTCATATTACTAATATTAGTTAAATGTAAGTATTATTTAATTCAAATGACTTTATATATATATGATTAAATATAAGTATATGATTTCTTTATATTGGCAATTATTGTTAATTAAGGTGGCCTAATTTAGGATTAATAATGATTTAAATTAGGGTTAGTTAATTTAATTTAAATGTTTTTATTATATATATATGCTCAAATTATTGGATTTGCTCATATTATTTAATTTAGTAAATTGTTAAATGTGCATTATTAATAAGATTAAGATGTTGATAATTTTAGTATTGTGGATTAAATTAATGCCATTAACGTATTGTGCATGTTTATAGTTTAATAATATTAATTATTGGATGTTAGTTAATTTTAAGGGAATTTTAGTGAATTTTAGTGAATTTTAGTGAAATTTTAGGCAATTAGTTAATTTTAAGGGAATTTTAGGGAATTAGTTAATTTTAAGTGAATTTTAGTGAATTTTAGTGAAATTTAAGGAAACTAGTTAATTTTAAGGGAATTTTAGGGAATTAGTTAATTTTAAGTGAATTTTAGTGAAATTTAAGGAAACTAGTTAATTTTAAGGGAATTAGTTAATTTTAAGGGAATTTTAGGGAATTAGTTAATTTTTAGGGAATTTTTGTGAAATTTAGTGAAATTTAAGGAAATTAGTTAATTTTAAGGGAATTAGTTAATTTTAAAGGAATTTTAGGGAATTAGTTAATTTTAAGGAAATTTTAGTGAAATTTAGTGAAATTTAAGGGAATTAGTTAATTTTAAGGGAATTTTAGTGAATTTTAGTGAAATTTAAGGGAATTAGTTAATTTTAAGGCCAGGAATTAGTCAATTTTAGGGAATTAGATAATTTAAAGAGAATTTTAGTGAATTTTAGTGAAATTTAATATATTAATAATACTCCACATATGTTGGTAGTGTTTATAATTTAGAGTTTTTAACCTGTATAATTTTTTTATTATAATATTCAGGCATAATGTATAGACAAAATAGAATTTGGATGTATGATAAACATGCGGTATTGTACGGAATGCAATCAAATTTTCTTGAAGGAGTTGAGGAGTTTATTAAATTCGCACTTGAACACCTGGCTTATGTGAGTGGTGATAAAATCAGATGTCAATGTTCAAAGTGTAAAAATCTCAAATTTAAACACCCAGACGAAGTTGGGTGGGATTTGTATGCGGACGGTTTCCTTCCCAATTATTATAATTGGACTTCTCATGCCGAACCTTTGGATCCATCTGTTTTACCACAAACGGTAGGTTCGTCTCGTAACGTCCCTGCAGAGATGAGTGCGTGGGGAGACCCTGCTGAAATGAGATGGGAGCAACGTATGGTATATGACGCATACGGTGCATCGATGTCTCAGTTCAACCCCCCACAATCATCTAACGATCCTCCTGAAGCTTCGACCTCGTATCAACCACATGAGGATGAAAATCCGATATTTTATGAACCTTATGTGGATGAAGGTTTAGCTGAAAGATTTCAAGATGTTTTAAAAGCAGCTGATCAACCCCTGTATGCTGATTGTGAGGGATACTCTCAGCTATCCGCCGTTACAGAGTTTATGAACATAAAAGCTGGATACAGTCTCCCTGAAACTTGCATGACTAGAGTTTTGCAGTCAGTAGGCGGGATGCTACCACGTGATCATAACCTTCCGGATTCATATTATCACATGAAACAATTAATGTCTAAGTTGGGGCTACCTTATATAGTATTTGATGCGTGCCCGGAAGGATGTATGTTGTTCTGAAAGGATGATGAGGCACTTGAATTCTGCAAGTTCTGTGGTGGAAACAGATACAAACATGTTCCTCAAAGTAGAAAGAAACCACGAAATAGGTCGGCATTGTCTACACTGTATTACCTCCCAATAGCTCCATGACTTCAGAGGATGTACGCTTCAACTGCTACTGCGAAACACATGACATGACATGTTGAGCACAAAACAAAAGAGGGTATGATGTCTCACCCTTCGGACTGTGAAGCTTGGAGACACTTTGACCGTTGTCATCCTCAGTTTGCAATGGAGCCACGAAATGTGCGACTGGGATTGTGTTCAGACGGATTTGCTCCATTTGGAAGGTTTGGGAAGAACTATTCATGTTGGCCGTGTTGATGGTATTGGTCCACCTCACCCGGGCCACCTCTATGTCTTGGTCCACCTCATTTATTATGCTGGTCTCCTGTTTAATGTTCTGGCCCAACTGGGCTGGAACCCGACCAAACCCATTCCCCTTTCCCTTGTCTTATACCCAGCCCATGCCCGTGTGACCCTCTCTTATATTGTCTGGTTCTTTCTCGAATCTCCTATTTGACTCCTCCCCTTCTTCCCTCTTCCGATGAGGCAATCGGTTGGTTTCCCTAGACCTAGAGTGAGAGAGTTTCTGTTCCCGGAGAGTACTAGCTCCGGCTATACTCCGGTGATACGTTGGGGTTCCCTTGGGGGTCTTCACTCTAGTCTGGTAGTGTGGTGGGTTGGTTTTACCTCCGGTGGGTCTTCTGGGCTTGGGGTCTGGGTTCTGGTTGTGAGGGCTTGTTGGCTGTCGCCCTTCGTCTTCCCTGATTGTAACTCTGGTGGTGAGTGTGAGCAAGCCCTTGGGCTTTGTGGTGATTGAGGTCTGAGCCGGTCCAGATTTCTAACAGGCCGGTCATGTTAACTCCTTACAATATCCCTCCCGACATGTGCATGAAAAGCCACTTTATCTTTTTGACTCTAATCTGTCCGAGTCCCAATGATCCAGGGGAAAAAAATAGACATTTATCTCCAACCCCTTATCGAGGAGATGAAAGAACTTTGGGCCATTGGGACACCAACATATGATGTTTCAAGGGATCAAAATTTCATAATGAAAGCTGTCATCATTTGGACCATTAGCGACTTCCCTGCCTATGGCATGCTTTCGGGATGGAGCACACATGGTCTTATTGGATGTCCGATATGCATGGAGAAATCAGGTGTCAATTGGCTAACTTTCAGTAAAAAACCAAGCTACTTTGATTGTCACCGCAAGCAATGGAAGGGATCCTTGCCGGATATCAGCCTCCGCCTCAGCCTATTCCATGGTCGTACATGTTGCACGTTGAGCAGACTCCTCAGGTTCCGCACATGGGTAACATGGGTTGTCACTTTAACTCCGGTTATGGTGTCATGCCTGCAATGGGGTCAACATTCATATCTCTGTCGTCTGATATGCTCAATCAGTTTCAGTCATCCGGTGGAGGCAACCGAGGAGGCAGCCGAGGAAGCAACCGAGGAGGCAACCGAGGAGGCAACCGAGGAGGCAACCGAGGCAGTCGAGGAGGTACCCGACCCTTGGACACCGTGGATGCAGAAGAGGATCATCATCGTGACTATGATGATAATGATGACGCATATGATTATGATGATTCTAATTTTTATCATAATGGAGTCCGACGTACGGGCATGTAATTACATAATATTGTTTAACATTGTATGGATTTTGTTTTTATAATTCGGTCTGTAATAACATTTTTTATGTTTAAGATTGTATGGAATTTGTTTTTATTCTAATTGCTTTAAAGTAAAATTAAAATAAATTTTTATTTTTTATTTAAAATCGATTTTTTCTTAAAATCAAAAAACATTAGTCACAGACTAAATCCGTGACTACGTTTTAATCCGGAATAAATTCAATTTTCATTTTTTTATTTTTTTTTATTTAAAATCGATTTTTTTAAAAAACAAAAAACATTAGTCACGGACCAGATCCGTGACTACGTTTTAATCCGGAATAAATTCAATTTTTTTAAAATTAAACATAGTCACGGATACGTGTCCGTGACTAATTGCGGCCTTTTTTAAAAACGTTAGTCACGGACACGTCCGTGACTACCACAAAAAGTAAAAAAATTTAAATTAAACTTAGTCACGGCTCTTGTCCGTGACTAACATAAAAAAAAATTAAATTAAAAGTAGTCACGGATCTGGTCCGTGACTAACGCGCCGGAGGGCTAATTCTGGTCAAGATGTAGTCACGGATCGAGTTCCGTGACTAATCCGTGACTACACTTAGTCACGACCAATGTTCCGTGACTACGTTCTAGTCACGCGGAATTAGTCACGGAACTAGTCACGGACAAAATCTGTGACTAAATGTGTTAGTCACAGATTTTTCACACTACGGTCCGTGACTAAGTCCGTGACTACATGCGAATTTTTTCGTAGTGACAATGGATGGCAGCCATTTTAAAAAATTGAAGGATTCCCGTTTTCTATTGAAACAAGAAAAACACTTCAAATCCTCTTGACTTGTCCAGAAGAGAGGATAAGATGCTCTCCAT